GTCTGTACGACTACCAAGCATGATGCCTCCCCAAACGAGAACACCGCCACCTCCATACCTGTCCCTTTCAATGATGTTCGAAGGATGACTGCGGCTTCCCCGCTCTCTCCAGATGAGTATGAGATGAGAATCGCTACTCAGACTGAATCTGCTCTCATCTGTAAAGAGTACTCGTCCCCATTCATTGTCTCTCCAATTCCGGTGTTCCCGGCACTACAGAGAACGCCTTCTCCAATGGGCAGGCGTTAGAGGTACACACCGTACAGGGCGTCGTGCAAACAGACCACCACCGTGCAGTCTTCTGGCCACGGTAAAACGCGATATCGGTCGTCCAGTCGACTGTGTCCTGTGTCTAGCGATTTCTCCCGCTGTCTGCCGCCTGTTTCTTCTGGCCTGTAAGGCAATATACCGGTCATCTGCGGTGTGGTTCCTCGTGGACGACCACTACTAAACCCCGCATAGCTGTTCCTGTAGTTTGAAATTGTCTCCAAAGTCGTGAAACGATGCTGTGAGCAATTTCGAACTCTGCAGCCACACTTGTCACACTGCGGCCTTCCTCCAACTTCCCAATGATTCGACCTCTGGTAAAAGCATCCAGATGTCGTCTAACAGATTGATTATTCGCCATTTCTCGCTGAGGCAGCAACTCGGTGTGATTTTAACTGCTATACGGCGTGCAATCTCTTTGCCAGAAATACTGATCTTACACCGACAACAGCTTTATACTACTCAGACACTCCCCCATTACGTCTACCTGCATATCTGCGCATGTGCTACCGTACATCACCTTACTTAATCTCCTGATTGGTCTTTCTGTCCCCTCTGCCTCTTCGTTCAGCTGATATGCTAATTTTTCGACTTCGTCCTTAATTTTTGCACACCAGTGTAGGTATACATTGCGATGCCTTTATATTGGTACGTCGTCATAAAGGTATCTGCACCTTTATATCAGTCAGCACTGTTCAAAACGACATAAACCTTCATAAGTGGGCCGTATCATGAAGTTGTATGTACCCTTATGCAGATCAGTTTCTAACTTGAAAAAACCAACTTTCATAAAGGAACGGAGCACCTTTATACCGAAGCTTTTTTGTAATTAGAACTTCTACTTGCTTTGTTAATCAGGGCGGCAAACTAAGGCTTTCAGTTTCGTGAAAGTTGCTTTTGGCAACTTAGAAACTGAGCTGCATAAAACAAATCGGCACTAAAATGAAAGTTTCTGTCTTTTCAAACAATTGCCTTTCAAAAGTCAATTGAACAACAAAATGTGACTTTTTAAATAATTAGGAATTTTTTTTTTTTTTTTTTTTTTTTTTTTTTTTTTTTGTATTTTCTGTTAACAAACACCAAAGGTATTCGCATCTGTACGAGAAATTTGCATTTTCTTGAACATGTTTATCATAGGAACATTTTGGAAGTCCCATATAAAGGAACTGAAACTAAAATGAAATTTCATACATTCAGCACTTTCGTTTACTAAGATACGTTTGTGCCTATCACAGCTCACGAACTAGAAGATTTGTAACAGTCACCAGAGCTTAAATTGCGCCGGAGCCCACCAGAGGCTGGCTCCGGTACTTCTTAGTTTTTGGAATAAATTATAAATCTAGTCGGAGCTCACCGGAGCAATAAATAAGAAGGCTCTTGCGCTTCTTTTGTGTAACAGAACAACAATTTCTGTAGAAATTTGATCTCAAAAATTTACTTTTTGAAATAAAATATTATTACTAATCGCTTATTAAATTTTAATTTATCTCTTTGCATTTTACATAATTTTAATTACTTAATTACTTTAATAATTTAGCTATTTAGTAATAATTAATTTTATTAATTAATACTAATCATTCAATTAAATAATAACAGACAAATATTAACTATTAATATAAATTAAATATAATAAATTTATTTGGTAATAATTAACTATTTAATTTTTAATTTATTAATGATTTTAAGAGTCATTTTATTTATTTATTTACTTTTCTTTCTCTTTGCTGACAGTCTTCCATAAGGCTCCGGCACTTCTACGTTTAGAAATTAAGCCCTGTCACAATAAATTTTCTAAATTTAGATTATTTGCAAGTTAGTAATTGCAATTCTGAAACAATAAGGATGCATCCAATAACAAATTATGGATGAATTTTCGTTGTAAAAAGCCTGTTCATAGTAAACTTGTTTTTTTCAAAATTATTTTTAAAAAAGGTGACATTTTTTTATTTATTTTGATTTATGATTTTGTATAGTTAGTTCTTCCCATTCTCAAACCTTATTTTCCTATTACAGAGAGGTAAAAAACAAGTTACTTCTTACCTCAGTCGCTTTGAAAAACTAATTCTCATTATTAAAGAACTTACCAGAAAATAAACGAAGAAACTGCAATGAATTTTTTAGCCCAATAAAATTATTCTTCTGTTTATAAATTCAAATTAAAGCAAGTTAAACCTCGTACAGACTAGTTTTTAACTGCGTTTGTAAAGTAAAATTTCGTTTGTTTTTTTTAAAAAAATATTGTTACTTATTATTGCACAGCACTAAACATCATTCATTACTAAATATAATAGTGTAATAGATCAAAAAGTATTATTTTTCTTTTGCAGTTTCAAAGTATAGTTATTTCTATGCTAAGAACTATCGATGAATTTAATAGAATACATTTATAACTTGATATTTCTGATTAGTGCCTCAGAGACGGGTAAGTGATTATATTGACATTGCCGTACAGAAGGGCTCAAGTTCGAATGCCATATAAGGCATGGATGCACATCATGCCCATCTGTTCATAGGATAAATGTCTTCGTAAAAGATTTTCTGAGTTAACCTGTAACGTACATAATATTTGTGTTCAAAGATATTAGAAAAGTATCTAAAATAATGTTTACAAAATATATTATGTAGCAATTAGAATTTAATCGTAAACACATTTTCAATATGAAACTCAAAAACGGATGAAAACACGTGCCTATAACTTGTAAGAAAGTTCTCTGATCAACTGTGAAACAACAAGAAAAATTTGAAAATATTATTACTTAATATTTACAGCCAACATATACAAGACGAAATCCAGTGTAAGCATAACAATTAAATTTTCATATGCAGAATAGGTAATCCATAGAGTAAGATTTCGATTCTTATAACATGACGTGCGTGTGTGTGGTACAAGGTTACTTTACTTTAATATTTTCAGATATGAGCTTCCATAAAAAGTAAGTACTGAAGATATCTGAGAAAAAAACATTCTCAGGAAATCTTCATATATCCCGGGACATTACGACTTGAACAGGACATCCTTAAGATGTTGATTTACGATGTCCTCAGGATATCTGAAAATCAACATCCTGAGGAGATCTTCATATATCCCGGGACATTGAGACTTGAATAGGATATCCTCAGGATGTTGACTTAAGAAGTCCTCAGGATATCTGAGAATCAACATCCTCAGGATATCCTAACTGCTTCCCGGGAGATTGCGACTTAAATAGGATATCCTGAGGATGTCTTGTGTTATGGGGGATCGTTTATACGACTTGACAATTCTTTTCTATTGTTCTATGATCCACTTTACGATATTCATGGCCCTGTGCAAATATAGGTAATTCTGAATTAATATAAGAATATGAGAGTGGCTATCAGATATTGCGAATTCTACGCCCTGTAAAATTCGATGAACGTTCCGATACACTTGAACTTTGTCTGCTTTGCAGTACAGCTATCAGGTGACAGTTAGTAATCGTTCATTTCTTGTCACGAAGCAAGACATTATCTGATATTGATTCTCGAACATTCGTTGATCATGAATAAATGACCACTGCCTCGGATTCCTGCTACAGGTTACAACCTCATTCTCTTTCTTTCCATAACTTCAGGTACTTACAACGGAAATGCGAGCATCTAGCAGGTGCGCCATTTCGAAATACAGGCTCTCTTAAAAATTGAGTCACAGTTAAGTCTTATGAATTAGCAGCCTATTCCATTGCATGCACATGTAATTGACAAACTAATACTTCACTATACCCAGAAACCGTTCGATAACATTTTAATTTATCCCGTGCTATATGGTTATATTATTCGAGAGAATACTTTGTCTTAGATGGGGGGGTAATCACAGCGTTTTAGCTAATCAATTCTATGTGATTATAACAACACAAATATTAGAAATTTGCTTTTAAAATATGCGCTGTTTGAAAACTAGTTGATGAATCCGTAGCTAGCATACGTATAAGATCTTAAAAAGGCTTTCTTTAACACATATATACAAGATGAACGTTTATAAAATTATATATTGATTTTCGTTTAAATTATGTTACATATTATTTTAACAATAAAAGAACATAAGAAAAGAAAAATTCATTATGAAGAAGAAACATTAATTATGAATTTTAATCTCTTAGTTTGTTACACCAGTGAAGAGTGTACTGCTATAATTTGAAAATAAATTAATGGTCTTATGTGTCAAAAATCGCAATAGCTTTAAGAATTTACTATGTATCATGAGATGTGGATGTATAATGTCAAGGTAGGATTCAATTAACTTATGATCATTATAGACATTTCTAACTTTCTAAATTCATGCCAAGAGAAATAGTACATTTTAATAAGTCCTGATACAAATCGTTCGGAATGGAGTAATACAAAATTCTTTCGTTTTCCACAGGTATTATGTGAAAATCTGGAGAAAAGGTTAAACATATTTACACTCCCTACCTGATCGCAGCTAAAGAATTACAGTTGTTAAAGCTAAAGTTTCTGCTTGAAAAAATAGTTACATCCTAACTATATTGTAAAAGTAGTTTTTGAGTTTTTTCTAGCCTCACTTAGTACTTTTAATATCAACAAATAATTCAGCAGTCAACCTAAACATAATTATTTCTGTTATTATTTGCAGCAGCTGGTAGCCAAATAGACACGTTGAGCATATATAATTTCTACTGCAGCTTTTAATGTCTATTAAGCATGTTTAAACAGTATAAACTATGCATTAAAGTAATAGCTTTTAATTTACATACCTTCCATGTCTTTGGGATCTAAAAGTGCTGCAGAATTGTCGCCATCCTCGCAGTTTGCGATAGCAAACGCACTGGCCACTAAGAGTACCCAAAATACTTGCATCTGGAAAGAGTAATGAAAAATTAGATTCTTTATTTTATAAAAACACAAAAATTCAGATTGGTAGGAAAATTTTTCTGAAAATTATAAAAAATGTATAACGTATAACTTAAACATAATGTTATGCACTTGATGGAGAGAGTAATTGTAAATTAGTTCATTATAATCTTTTAAAAATGGAAAGGCTCAAAACATATTCAATTTTTTAAGTGTTTTTGTAGTTAGGCATAATTACTCTTGGGTGGCTTTCAAACAAATTCTATTTTAAGAAGAGAACATTTAGTAGTGTAATGCTTAAGCAAATTAACAATAAAAATAATGCAGCAAATGATAGTAATAAGTTGTTTTTGTAAGTTACTGGTCTCTTTTGAACGTTCTTTCTGCTTGAAAAAATATGATCCTATGATATAATCAACAAAAATTGCATATCAAATTTTGAATCTTTGTTATTGGTGCAGTTGTAAATTAGAGTAGAGCGTTGCCTTCGAGCAGTATTTGGATTTCCCGTCGCAGCTAAATTCAAGCTACACGGCTACCTTATTGTTAAAATTAATAAATGTTTTAGTTAAGACACACTAACACGCCGAACAAATACTAATTCAGAAGTCAAATAACAAAAATGTTCTGGTTGTTACAGAGTCTCGTTGCCTGGATTAGTCTATTTCTAGGTTCAGGCATACGAACAGTCATTTTCCATTGTGATAATAAAGCTTAGAAAAATGGCGCTTTTAAAGAAGCCATGGATAAAAGACTGTTTGTGTTCTTTCTGAAGAAATTTTTCATAACCAGTTATTTAAAAAATATCGTGAAAGCCGCGGTTTCCGATATGTAAAGCTGCGACAGGTAACGTTGTCAACAACAAATGTAAAAACATTAAAATTTAGCATCATGTGGAAAAATTGTTCCAAATATGTATTTAAGAGAAAAACAGCATATTTTCGAATGTTTTAAAAGCAAGATCTTTAATGTTAAAAGAAAATTTGCCAAGTCAAGTCAAAGGACAGATGTAAAATCCTTAAAATGCTCAGTGTCGGCTGTAAACAAAGAGATTAATGCTGATCTTAAAAAGGCGAAAAAACATAATGTGCATAGTCTTTCTCAACGAATTTCCGAATACAAGACGCGCTGCAGAATTGTTTATAAGAAACATTTACTCGGACAAAGATGGAAAACTGTTGTCACAATAGACGAATCTTGGGCGTACCTAAATGACTACAATAAAAAGATATCCATTTACCAAAGAGGAGTGAGTGAGTGAGTGCACCGCTATGATGGCTTCCGACCACGGACATGAACCAAACGGAATTATATACCATCACGGCGGGGAAGACTCCAAAGTAACAAGGTGAATATTACATTACTAATAACAGTTTCTATAGTTTTATAACTGCAGGCAAAAAGCGTTATTCTGGTTATCTGCTTTAAATTCTAAACATTTGAAATATAATATTACTCACGATTGCTTCTGCTTACGCAGTGCCTTGAGCTTTTCTCTATTTTACCAAGGGCTACTCTGTTTTTGAGCGTGTTAAACATCCACATTGCCCAGGCACAGTTCGCTGGTTTCTTCAAGTGTCAGGTTCTTGTATGTACACAATGAACGTAATAATGGTCCGTGTCTCCTTCCTCTGCACATTCGCAGAAAGGAGTATCCCTAAATCTGAATCTGTTGAGGTATACTGGGAATGGTCCATGACCTGTCAAGAACTGTGTTAGACTAGTACAATGGGTCTTTATTTCCATGTTAACTTTTGTCAGTAAGCGATGTGTGCTTTGTCCTACCTTTGCCTCTGTCCATTTACTTTGCCAATTTTGTAGCAAACTGGTCAAAGCTGTTCGCTTAATGTGAGACCAAGAAAGTTTAGTTGGTGGTTCTAATAAATCCGTGAAGTTAGCTGTCTGCTTGGCCAGTAGGTCAGCGGCTTCATTGTTTTGAATCCTTGTATGAGCGGGAACTATTCCCTAAGTATGTCTGTATAAAGTATGTCTTCCCTAAAGTATGTCTGTGTGAGGTAGACATTGCCAGAAGCTGTTTCTGAATTCGGTGTACCAAGGGTCTCCGGATGTTTTGACCTGCGATAGCCGCAAGACTTGATGCTGAATCGCAGAGTACGGAGAATGTCTGCTGCTGACATGTGTTCGCATAACTAATTGCAGCAATGATAGCTAGAAGCTCTGCTTGGTATACCGAGTTGTTCAAGCATAGTTTCCTTTTCCACTCGAATGTTACAACTACATTTTCCAGTCTACAGAAGGCGCTGCCCGTACCGTTCTCAGTTTTGGAGCCATCTATGAAAAGGTTATTACTGTTCCTCTGAATTGGTTGGTCGTTTACGCTGATACCCTCGGAGACATTAAAAGCTGCTGGATGAAAGTTATTACAATTGTTTTGCTCCTCGTAGTCCGAGTGGTGATAACTATGACCCCAGAGTGTTGAAGTTTGACCCAGCCTGGTAACCCTACGATAGCTGCCTCCCTTTCTTTATCAAATCAGGGGAGGAATTCTGCTAGTTGTTGTAGGGTTAGTGTTGAAGTGGTACGGTAGGCCCTGCATACTTGAAGTAGTGCTGTCTCTGAATAGAGGAAGGGATTTCATATGTTGAGGGTAAGTTCGCCACCCCAGATTGGCTCCATAAGTTATTACTCTTTCTGTAAAGTGTTTCTATGCCATATTTTTAGTAGCTTAGATGAGGTACCCCATTTATTTGAAGTTATGCGTCTCATGTTGTTGCTTTTGGAGTCTATGCTATTTGGGGTCTTAACGATTCCTGACATATGGCATCCATAGGAAAGTCTGTTGTTGAGTGTTACCCAAGATATTTCAATTGGGGGAAACATTTTACCGGTATCCCATGGGTTTAATGCTTGGGTTTGCGTCTTAGTACCTGCTGCGTCCGAGTAAAGTTTAGTTTATCCGAAATCTGAAGCTTATGCGCTCTGGCCCACTGGGAGAACAGATCAAGAGACAATATGAGTCTCATTCGAGGTTACTCCCTTTTTGCCCCAACTAGCATAAAATCGTCCGCATAGGCTATGATTCGAGCGTATTCTACGCTCTCGAACTGACGAAATGCCGAATTTGCCACTATATTCCACCGTGTTGGTCAAGCATCACCCCGTGGGCACCCTCTAAAGAATTTTGACATAAATGCCGCTGTGATGTTACTTGTACATTTAATCTTGGGCTGTTTTACGTCTGGCCACCGAAAAAGGTTTTGGCCTAGTTGCAATGGTGTTGGGCAGGCCATTGTGCAGCAAATTATTACGTTGGCTTTGGGGGGGTGGGTGGGGGGGGGGGGGTAAGGCTCAAAGTATTTATGCCTTGTTCCGTGGTGTTGGTTGATAGGGCCCATTAAGTCTTTTATGGCATGCTCAGTTGAGCTGCCCATTGGAATCCATATTGGTTGGATTGCAGGGCGTTGTTTTGCAGGAAGAAGTCCAGTCTGTAAAGAATTACTCTTTCCAATACCTTACCGAGCGTTGGCAGTAGACAGACTGGTCTGTAAGATGAAGGTTCTGCCGGAGTTTGGCCTGTTTTTAGGAATAACGCCACTTCTGCCAACTTCATATTTTTAGGAAAGTACTGATGTTTCCAGCAAGCGGAAATGACTGCAAGGAATAGTTTATAATGATGATATTATCAATTCCATCCCGACCTGGAGCTTTTTTGGGTGCCAGAGTACGTATGATGTTATCCACTTCCATTTGCGTAGGAGGGGGTTCGTCTCTTCTGGTAACTTGGCGAAATTTCATACTGTAGGTTTTTCTCGCTTCCTCTTGCTCCTCTAAGAAATCCTCTTCATCATCATCAGGAAAAACTGCATTAATGATCTCACTGATTACTTCGATGTTGGATGAGGCAGTGCTATTCACCATAGGCGAAAGGACGAAACACCTTGTTACATGTTATCTTTTGAGTAGTCCGAAAGCTTTAGTGGCATTACTACTGGAGAAATAAATCTTAAAACATAGTTCAAGGAATCTAAAGAAAGTTTTTATAAGGGATTTATAATTGTTGCTGGTTTTTCATATAACGGCTAATTAAAAATAGTGGAGCAAAATCTTAAAATCAACTCCACGTATTATCAAAAACATATTTTATACCCAATTTTCAAATATGAAATATCTTCTCTTTACAGACAGTGTGACCAATCAGTACAGCTGCATAAAGACTAAGCAAGCAGCTACACGTCCAAATCTACTGTTACTTTCCTGGAAACAAAGAAACAAGAAACCGGTATCAAAGCCACTCGCTTCATTCGTATTCCGACTAAATCTTCTTATCCATCACCAATGCATTTTTGAGCTTATCGACTTTAAAAAAGCGGGTTGTCCAAACGTCGACCTACAACGTCCTTAGATTTTGAAAAGCTGTTCGAGAGCAATGGGATTGAGTACTTCTTCCAGTACTACAAAAGGCTTCATTGTCTTGGAAATTAAGAAGTATAAAGATACTGAAGAGTAAGAGTTATTAAATAAAACATTTAAAACAAGAGAAGCTTAGTTAAAATATTTCTATAATTAAAATTGAATTCGTGTAAAAGTATGCAAACAAATGTTTTGTGTTAAATGGATTTTCCCATCTGTAGCTTAATGTAAGCCATCTGAACATACAGAGATAAATATATAATGATTCTTAAATATATTAAATATATTTTGAGCTTAACGATGCATTCTTTCCAAGATGGACTGATGATGATGAAACCTTATCTTAATTTAGTCAGCATCCATTTGAGCATAAAGTTAATAAAATGTTTTACAACTTTGATTAAATAAATAATTAGCATGTATTAACACCAAGCTTACAACTTAGCCTGTAGCTTAAAGAAATAAGTATAGCATTGGTTTCCAAAATTCCTTAAATGACTTAAAATTAGTCCAAATTCCTTAAATGACTAAAAAATATTAATTTAGTCAGCATCCATTTGAGCATAAAGTTAATAAAAAGTTTTACAACTTTGATTAAATAAATAATTAGCATGTATTAACACCTAGCTTACAACTTAGCCTGTAGCTTAAAGAAATAAGTACAGCATTGGTTTCCAAAATTCCTTAAATGACTTAAAATTAGTTTACGAGAAAACGAAATCGAGGAATTAGAAAGTAATTCTTAATAGTACATTTCGTAAAGTCAATCTATGTGACGCTTCTGTAGTAAGTTGTTGCAAGCATAATCTTTGTAACCATGCAAGTGCTTTTTTACTTCCTTGTACGAAGTAAAAAGGAAGTATTGTCATCCCGAAAAGTTTCAGGCATCATATTTCAACGCAAATATCCATTTTCACCGCTATCGAATGCAATTTAACGATGTTTTTGAGTGACATCTGTACGTAAGGACAGAATAAAAGACACTTTCCCCCCAAAAAAATTGTAAAGTAATTTTAAATGAATTCTAAAGAGAATTTTGCGTTGCGTCTGTGCGTACGTACGTACGTATTTATCTCGCATAACTCAAAAACGAAGTGCCTCAGAACGTTAAAATTTTGTATATAGGACTGCTGTAACATGTAAATGTGCACCTCGTATTTTGGTTGCAATCGGCTGCACCGAAAGTATATAAGTATATTTATATATATATATATATCAACTCTGTTACTCGGCTCAGTGATCTCAGTTTCTTTATTTTTATATGTTTGTAAATTGTGCATTTTTTGCTTTAAAAATGATTGAATTATGTTGTTCTTATCTTCTTGTTAAGGGTTTTATGCCTTTAGTAAATCTGTATGCAGTATGTTTAGAGTTATCAGCAATTTAAAAGTTGTTTGAGTGCAGCTAAGCCTAATTATTTTTCCCATGGCGGCCATTGCTTGTTTACATTTGAAACAGCAGAATAGTAGATTTGTTGCCAATCTGGAGAAAGTAAGCTTCACAATAACAAAGGTAACGCCTTCTTTTATTATTGCGAATTAAATCATGCTTAATCCATTCTGGAATTTATTCGAGGAAATAAGTGTTTAAGATTTACTTCATAATTTTCAATACACACATCTTGAGTTTTAATGTATTTGTGCCTTGTCGCTAAGTGAGAACTTAATTAATTGAATAAGAAATACTGAATCGTCTGTGAAAAACTGTTTCTCTGTTTGGCTGTTGTTGTTGTTTTTTGCTTAATTTCTTTTATACATCGTTTTAGATTTATTATAGTATTTGAATAGAACATGTGGCAACGATTAGATAATTCTTAAGATGATATAAATTTTGTGCATTCTGAGAATGAAATGTAACGCTGTTAAGTGAACATAGGGCCGGAGTGTCGCTATGGTAAACAAATATAATGAATTTTAAAGAAAGCATTTATTCTATTGTGATTTATGCGCTATCGACGATGTAGATTTAATTCAATCCAATAAGTTTAAATGAAATGCAATAATAAATGGGTTTAATTTAATATTCCGTACAAAGAAGTCATGTGGTGCACACATCAGATTTTTAAAATTTACGCTTACAAACTAATACTTAAAATATTCCCGTGTTCGCAGCTTTTGAAATGTACTTTAAACTTGCAAAATATTATTCAGGAATACATACATATATACATATTTAGACAGTTCTTAAATTTTACGATTTATTATCTATACCTAAAAAATGGAGAAGAATATCTTAAAAATAAATTATGATTTATTCTTTCTTTTTGTGAGAAATATCCAATTTTTTAAAAACAAAAGCGCTTCCTTAAGACAAATTTTACCTTAAAGTTTGAAGAACCTCAAAGTTGCATACTGCAAAGTGATCAGTATAGTAATGTATAAAAATGGGAAACAATTAGTGCATAAGTTCTCTTAACAAAACTCAATTGAAACTGCTATAAAGAACGAGAAGGAATGCTTAACCCATATTCCGTTCCAATAACAATTTGACTTCGATAAATATGATAAACCGAATCCCTTAATACCTCCTAAGTATTGCTCAGAAATTTTCCTATCCTGTAGAGAACAAACTATTAAAGAATACTATAAAAATGTTTTGTTACCTGGATTCAGATTTATTTTTGTAATTTTGAAAAATCTCTATTTTTGTGTTTGAATTTTGAATAAACTAAATGTGCTTATTCGAATCTTAAAATTCACGAAGCTTAGAAAGACCGCTGATCCACAAGGCATCTTTCTTTCTCTTTTCATTTTTCCCCTTTTTTTGCAACTGCAGGAAATATTTTATCCTAGTATTCCTTACATATTGATATTCTGTATAGAAGGATTTATTAAGTAAGACAGACAAATAAAATCTTTTCTTAAAATCTAATGAAAATTTTTATTCCTACAATAATGATTAACTGCTTTGTGTTTGATTAAACTTATTTCAAATCAGCATAAACTATTCAATTTTTAGTAAATTATAGTGATTTATAGATTCCTTGGTTTAGTCATAAATTTTTAATTTTGATATGTAATAATAACAATGCTGATAAACATTTCAATTTCACGTCCACTCACATGTAAGCTCAGTATGATACATACGAGAAGAATCTCAAGTATATAAATTCAACACTCCGTACTCGGTGTCGGTTAGAAAAACTTACAGAGACATTAGGCTATTTGGCCAGCTGGAGAGGAGGACTCGGGACTCGAACCTCTCGAATGCTCGACGAGTGTGCTGACCATAACACCACGAAGGCCTGCTAAGAAGGTGGGAGAAAAACCTTATATACTCCCCCTTTTAAAAACCGACTGGGGATTAGGGTACCCAATCGCCAAATCCTAGTGGTGGAGAAATATCATCCACCACCGTTTCTAGCTCAGGCGCCACTGTAGACATTAGGCTATTTTGCAAGCAGGAGATGTGAAAAATGAGGAATTCCCTCGCCGAGACTTGAACCTCGGACCTCTTGAATACGCGCCGAGTGTGTTGACCATTACACCACGAAGAAATACTAAAAAGATGGAAGAAATACCTTATCAACTCACTGTTCTAATTATTACAGCAAAGCCTGAGATTTTCTATCCAATGTTTTGCGGTAAATTGCATATCTGCATTTCATAGATAACTCTAATTATTAATAATACCACTGTCAGATAGACATTTTCTTATTGGTGGATTTCTGCTCAAATCTACCAGAAAACAAAAAACTGCAGTCATCTAACAGTTGTCTTTGGTTGAGAATGCAGTAAAATTTAAACTTGAAGAAGCTTCAGTAAAATATAGACAACTAAAGAAAACTGTATAAGATATTGATAATGTATAAGAAATTGATAAAAAGGTACAGATATAGTTAGTTATTCCTACGTTAAATAGAAAATATGTGAAATAGTATTATTTTCGATATATTTTTCATTCTGATATATTGTTGAAACAGAGAAAATGAGTAATTTTGTCAAAGAAAATTGTTCTTAGGACCTGTTCGATTTAAGGGAATCAAATTCGAATTAAAGGTTTTAATGTTTCCGCTCAGACAGTTTAGGTTACGACAGGAGATTGCATGTGATCAAATCTAACATCAGCAATCGGATATTTTAATTTCAACTTGGCAGTAATTCAGTAATTTTAAATGTAGAACTATGACTTTATTAACAACTTTATTTTAAAGCCAAGTATCTTTTACAGTCACTTTGACAGCAGAAATGATTAATTTCGTAAATTCCCAAGTTCTCAAGTAATAGTAAATATTTTGTTCTGAAAAAATTCGGAAATTACTATTATAATTCTTACGTTATCAAAAGAAGATAATAAAAATGGCAGTTTCTTCAACTTGCTAACAAATATTTTCCCAAATACATTGCATTCGGATTAATAAATAAATACTGCAGGTCAATATAAACATTTTAAATATTCTTAGCTCATCGTTTTTAAAAGAGATTTACATTGAATAAGCCAACATTAAAGTAATTTTATATTCCAGGTTCTTGCATACGTATTTATAAGGAACAGAAATATGATCGTGGTTATTTCACATTCTTCTTCATATATCGTTGACCTATTGAGCGAACTTTCAGACTTATAGGTAAGTGCGCCGCTTTTAATAATAAATGTTATAGTCATCAATTCACAGATTGTATAGACACCGCTTTTATTAATAAATGTTATAGTCATCACTCCTATGGCTTACCCAGGTTTGGGATTCGATTTCCACGAAGCAAGCATTCAACTGCAGAAATCACAGAAAGAAACTGTAAATTTAAGAAGAGTTACTGAAAGAAACGTTGCTATTCCCGAGCTAGAGAAAATGCGGACTTCACTTTTTAAGAAATTCGATGCTTCATTGTAAGTGGAAAATAAATGAACAGTATTATGACAGTATGGAACCACATTATTTGGTGGAGACAAAATATTTAATACATAGTTTACAATAGAAGAGTTATGACTTACCTTGCAATTACTGCTTAGTTCTTAGCAAGTAAGTAATCATGAATGTGGGACCATTCCTTTTATACAGCGAGCATTATTTTCAATTTTTGTTTATTTCTGACATTTAAATAGATCCCATCTGTGGCAACATATTGAGTGAAACTGACATCTGAAAGTGATACACAAATGTAAGGTATTAAAATTGACAGCAGACTTAAAAATATTAAAATTAATATTATTCAGTATCAGAATGATATGTATCACCAGGATGTCTTTTTTTAACATAATCTACAGCTGGAATTTTAACACAAAGAAATGTGCCCTTTAAATGGGAGAACGTGAAATTTCAATTTACAAAGAAATAAAAATGATTAGAATTTTTAAAAAATAATAATTATATATGAATTAATTATTAGAGAAAATATAAAGCGGAATTGCATTTAAAGTATTATTTAAATATTTTAAAATAGAACAGGATTCTTCTTTTAAAATTAAAATTGAAAGCATTTGTGTTGAAGTGCGATATAAAGTTTTACAAGATTCAGGAGAGATGTACTTAACCAAATACATAAGATATTAATCAATAACTTCATCAAAATAAATTTGGCATTTAATACAAAAATTGTTTCATTTTGCATTAATAATTTATAATTAAAATTGACAATATTTTTTTTTATCATTAAGGTAAAGACTTATATTGGAGCAGTTCATTCTCTTTAAATGTCTTGCACTAATATGCTCTGCATTGGTTCTTGAAGTTTGGAGAATTTCAGTAAAATCATTTTCGTTACATTTAATTATTATCCATTTTAAGGTGAATTATTTTCCAAGATTATGCAACAAAAACAAATGTTTTATATACTATGTTCGCACAAAAATAGAATTTTACACACATTTCAGATTTATGTGTTTACCTATAACAGTTTTTCGACGTGAAAATATGTATGAAACAAAATTTCAACAAGATCTACATATACCGTAAATAATTACACCATGAAACACTGTATATTCAGATCATTTCATTTTTCTTTAGTAATTAGCTAATTTCAATAATTACATTGAGGGTTTAGAGGAAGTGTTATTTTACATCATATTTTTAGAAAATAAATTCCAATGGAATTCAGTTTCTAAATGCTCTTTAAATCTGCTTCACTGAACGTTTTTGTATATAAATAACTATGATAAAGTAAAATGAACTGTTTTTAAGCGTTTACAGTTAATCGAGTAATGTTATGTAGAGAAATTACCGGATAGCGTTATAAAAATTAGGTGAATGATTTTATGATTTATGGAAATTTAAATTTTATTTTGATTCTGAATTATTTAATTTTAAGGCTTTAATTTTGGGGGGAAAAACAGATGCTTCGGGAAATATTATTTAGTATAAATGAATATTATTTATTTTCTTTTATTTGCAAATCTTGTACAAACTTTTATTCATTGTGAAAGAAGCAGGGAAAGGGAGGCAATTTTCGCCAAGTCATGATTTCGCGCGCTTTAGAATGTTCGAGAAAGAATTTTCATTGTTAGTTGACCTTAAGAGAGGAAAGTACGTGACGGAAAGGTCAAAGGTTGCTACTTGTCTTTCAATGTAAGTCATTCAGGTTTTTGGCGATTGAGGGTCCGGTTGTTGGCTAAGTGAAGAAGGGCGCGCATGCGCGATCACCCTTATTTCCGCATTCTGGAGTTGAAAACGAAGATTTTGCCATAATTAAGGGGGCGATAAGTGAAGCCATAGTGGGAGCCCGTTTGGTGAAGGAGACGAAGGAAATTTGAGTTGGACACACTTACTTTTGGCTGACTCTCGGACTGACTCGCTGATTTTTTGGGCTTGCTGGACAAAATGTAAGTGACTCCGAGAGTGTTTTCCGGCGGGGAGCGGCAAATATGCTCCCCGGCCGCGTTTTTGGTTAAGAGGCGAGACTCTCTTACACTTACTCTGGACACTCGACTTTGGACTCGCGACTTACTGGTTGGCTGGCTTGTGGATGTTACTCTGGAACTTACTTGGGACGTTACCGTGAAGCTTTGCTCTTGGGATGAGTAAGAACAGGCGAGCCGTAATTTCCTAGAAAACAACGTTTCTGACCGGCGAAATTTGAACGAGTTACCTGCGTGTTGACATAGGACTTTCAGGACCAAGCGGATAGCCGTCCTGGGCAGCAGTGCTCCTGTTTCTGTTCTACAGTAGTGAAGTGGGTCTACATTTTTAGAACCAGTGTCAAGATGAGCCCGGCCGACATCAACGCGGGATAAGATAAGAGTCCTCCACTTCAAGATGTCCCCTCAAGATAAGTTTTTTTTTTTTTGGTGTGTGTGTTTGAACTTTAGGCAAGTTTTTCAAAAACGTCCTTAGCAGAAAAAAAACAACGTCGAATCTAAAATTTAACTCTCAGGCCTTAAATTGTTTCCCTTTCCTTTCTTTTAAATCACCAGACAAACCTTAAGTTTTTTTATGAATTTAAATGAACAGACTCTCAGATGAGGTTAAGATTTTTCTTATTGTGTTGTAATTGAATAAACTGATATTTAATCTGGAAACCTCTTACAGTATGTTTTCTTTATATATTTAATATGAACTTTTCCTTTATATCTTGTATATGTTTTATGTTTTCGATCCTCTCACGGGCGCGGTCCCGGAATGCATTTTTTTCACAACGCAAAAATGCTGTACACGTTTCACTATACGATCACTCCCTTTTACGGCAAGTAGTTTCATATTTAACATTTAACAATATAGGAATTTCAGATATAACATGGTACCTAGAAGTAAAACTATTTAACCTTGGTGTCGAAACTTTTTCTTCATAACAGTAACGTAACATTTTTTATTGAAATAAAATTTATTTTTAATGTGCAAGATTTCTTTTCTTACAATGTTGGGCCCATGGTTCTTAACTTCTCTTGTTCTTGGGTTCAGAATCTTTTGTTATTTAAATTATTCGAATGGTTAAATCTATTTTCAACCATACGAAAGTTAAAATGAAAAATATTTCTTTTGCGTAAATTTTAATAGATATAATAATTTAATTTGTTAGAAATAGTTTAATAGTTTAACATTTAAACAATGGTTTTGTTTCGATATAACAGACATGTTTAATTAATTCATTAAAACGATGTTAGAGATACTATCCAATCAGGAACTAGCATATTTTCCACTCTGCAGTTCTACGATTAAAACAGTTAATTGCCCCTTTAAAATGGTTAAAAAATATTTTCAAATCATCTTCAGCAACATTTTATTCCTTTCATTTTCTAGTTGTTGAAAATTTTTTAAATATTTGAAATTCTAGCTAAATCCTTAGATAAAAATAATTCAAGAAATGAACTAAAGAAAATGCAAGAAAGGTTTTTTAACCTATTTATTTTACAGCGCAATAAATGTTTTCCCGCCTGAATAACCAGCGGTCAGTTAGAAAACTGCATCACAAAAGCCAACAAGACGAATGCCCACTTAAAAAGAGCACACATTTTCAGAAAATGCATAATAGCTATGACTTCCTGAAACATTTTACGAATAATAATTATTATGATTGAAAATGAAATTTCAAGTGGAAATGAAATGAATTTTTGTAAAATCGAAGTTGTCAAAATTTAACTAAATTATTTGAAACCATGCTTCTAATTAACAGTATTTGTGATAGTCCACACAAATATTTTCCTAATCATAATAGAATACGGTACTTTTATCTTTTTCGTTGAAATAAAAGTTCGGCTTCAATTCTCCATATTAAAGTCATTATATGCAAAATTTTCTGACTTGTTAAATTATTCATAACTTATTCTCTATATATGATGAAAATTTACATACATTTTATGCTCCTTACAATTTTGTGGAATTAAAAGAATCAGTGTGGCCAGCATTCCCTTTCACTTCCCTTTGTTGGACTTATACGAAGGACACTTCCCTTTGTCGAGTAAATATAATAACAAAAGTTAGTTACACATATGTATATGTGTTTTTAATGACACTATTATGATGAACTCTCTGTTCTGTATACATATAGAGTTTTAACTCAGCCGGAGCCCAAAATAAAATGTGTTCCGCTATTTAAATTTATCGTTCAATTATTTGTTGTTAATTCAATTTAATTAATTAATTATTTTATTTGATCTTTTCTCATGTATCTGCTTCGTATAATTCAAAAAGGGAAAAAATATTAATTTCAACATTTATTACGACAAATATTAATTTCCCTCGCCGCATCATACAGGCCGATAAGTCTTCTCTCCGTACTCAGTAAGATTGCTGAAGCTGTGATTTTAAAAAAGAATTCAAAATTTTCTGCAGGACAACAATATCCTCATCCAAGAACAATATGGTTTCAGACACAGAAGCATTCTACCACTCACCAACTCTACCGAGTGACGGAGATGATCGCAGAAGGATTAAAGAAAAACTCATTACTGGAGCTCTCTTTCTCGATATTTCGAAAGCTTTGACTGTGTTTGGTTACAGGGGCTCACATACAAATTAATCACTCTGGGTTTCCTAGATTACATCATAAACCTCATTAACTCCTATCTCAGTGATAGAACATTTGTCTTTCGTTAAAACAATATCCACTCCACACGAAAAGTAACTCTTGCTGGCTTGCCACAAGGAAGCTTACTTTCGCCAACCTTATTTTCAATTTATACGAACGACATCCTACATAATCCCCTCACTACACTAGCATTATATGCAGATGATACTGCGATCCTCCAGCAAAACGCGTCTATGGCCGCAGTCGTACAAACACTACAAGAACGCATCCATTCACTAGAGTCCTAGATGATCAAATGGAAAATTAAGATAAACGTCGAAAAATCTGAAATTGTCTATTTCACCATCAGAAAAACATCGATCTGGACATCATGCTAAAAATGTACGATATCAGTAAAATGCCTTGGTGTCATTTTAGACCAAAGACTCACTTGGGCCCCATACTTAACATATATTTTGAATAAGTTTCGGGGTACTAAAGTACTCAACCCCTTAATTGCCCGAAACTCCGTTTTATCTCTTCAAAATAAAAATTCATGTATACCATTCCATGCTATGTCCCATTATTACATACGCCTGTCCGGTCTGG